TTATACTCAATTAAAATAAAAGGGTAATTTAGAGATGAATTTTTGTTTTATATTTATTTTTTAATTCCAAAAAATTTAATTCAAAAAAAATTTTGTGATGATTATTGGAGAAACAGAATTACAACCTGTTGTGTTCTGCAAAATTATCCTGTACGACTGTAATTCAGTACTAGTTACGAAATTAGTTTTTGGAAAATAATGAATAAATTAGATTTGTGTTTCACAAACGATATGCTAGAAGATAGCCGGCCGATCACATTTTTAGTATTGATTGAATGTAGTGGAATAAGCATACTGAAAGAAATAGAATATGGGAGAGAATAATGCTTGTATAATTTATACATTGAGCAACACATTTTTCGCAACATTGCAGCGTTATATTTTTGGATGAAAACAATAGTGAAATTAAATACGAATCTGGTTAATAATTTTTGCTCTTTAATTTACATTAATCTTGGAAAATGTTTTAATTTTTTAAATTAATATTGGACTAATTGAAATATTTCTTAAGATCAAGTAGTGAATTTCGTCCCAACTAATTTTTCTTGAGTTATTCATGAACTTCAAGGAACACCAACATTTTTCAAAATTTTGAAGAAAGACTTTCATTTAAAAAGCTCTAACACTCTCTAATATTGTTGAATTTAGGAATATCATGAACGTACACAAAAAATTTTTTTCCACTTTATTACGTTTTAGAGTACAATAAATTTGATCAATTAGAATTGAATGATTTAAAAGACAAATGCAACAAAGTAATTAAAAATCATTTGAAATGTAAAATAAAGTAAATGGAATTAGTTAAACAATATTGTTTAGAATATCATTGTATTGAATTAGAGCAAGCCGGGCAGCGATACAAAATAATTTTATGACACAAATTTGTAATCGATATTTTAATTCTATATGACGACCTAGTGTCCTTTCAACAATTCCAATATAAAAGAGGAATAAAGAAAGCTACTAGTTATTAAAATTTGTTGTTTTTTTAGTACCTCGTTTTTTTTTTTCATTTTTCCTCTACAATAGAATAATAGAGCGTTTTCTTTCCTTTTCTATTATTTGATTGAACTTTATGTGGTAGCTCTATTGAATTGAATTAAAATAATGTTTGTTTTGTAAATCTTTCCGATATGGTCTTTTTTTTATTTGTTTTATTCATAAATTTGTTTTTGAACTATAAAGACTCTCAATATAGAATAGAAAAAATAATCTTTGTGATTTTGAATAGATGGATCACACTATAATACAGAAATAAAGAATAAAAAAATGACAAAAGGTATTTAAAAATTACTCTTGCTTTCATTTGAAAGGATGTATTTGAATACTGAAAATGAAAGAATTTAAATGAAAACAGAAAAAAAAATTTAAATTAATTTTTGAAAAATAATGAAAATTGAAATATCTTTCATATGACTGGGTCTTTTTCTTTTAAAGACAGGAATATCTGCATTAGTGATTTGTAATCTGAAAAACGTGTATACAAATTGAACAAATTCATGAAATAAAAGAATTTTTAGTGTACAGTTATTAATATTTTCGATTGAAGTATGCAGGAAAGTAGAACTCTATTTATCCTGGAAAAAAAAATTGTGATTCAGTTTTATTATAAATTTAAAAAAATTTTAATTTTTAAAAATTACTTTGAAATTTTCCGGATTGGGATGAAAATTATTAGATGCGATTTTTTTTTCATATTTTCTACAATTTCCTCCTTTTAAATCAAGAAATCAACGACATAGCGCATAATAATGGAATACTCGTATTAAAATTAAATTTTCGTCAATATTTGTGTAGCCCTGTTAATGTTTTATAACATTCTCTCTGCATTTTGTGTGATTCAATTCATTATGTCAAGTTTTATATAGATTTGGACCGGGAAAAAATTAAATAATAAACCAGATGAATCCAATTTTGTAAAGTAAAAGTCGAGGAAATTCAGTGAATGCGAAATTTCTTTGAAATGTGAAATTTGTAATTTGTATTTAGAATGACGCACTAATGTAAGGTTTTATTACATAATTTTCTGGGGCGAATCTTATAGTAAATTTTTCAAAATGATCGCAAATTTATTCGAGTTATGAAATTTTTCATTTTATGGCTCAAAATAGTGTTTTTTTGTTCGAGTCTAGACTCGGATTTCAAGAATTTCATAAACATATTGACAAAATTAAAAATTTTAAAAATTTCTGAGTTTGAGCTTTAAAATATGGCACATTATATTTAATTTTAGTCTTCTGACCCTGATTCTGGCCAGTAGAATCAATAACAACCTTCTACATTTTTTTTGGAACAGAAAGCAATAAAAAAAAAGGTCCTTAGTCTATAATTTTTTGTATGCATTTAATCATTACAAATTTTAGTCGTTTTTCTTGTCCTTTTTTTATTTTTAATAAATTATTTAACTAGTTAACAAAACATTAACTACTTCTCGTATTAAATTTATTCAATTATTTAGAAAAATTCGACGTCATAACTCTAATATTTATAAATTAAATGAAAAATTTTCAACAATTTTACAACGAAATAAATAATTAATTTTGAAATTTTTAATTTTTTTTTTTGGTGTGCCCCTTACCATGTTTATGAAAATTAGAAAATTTCTTAATTTCTTTCTTCTAATTTTTAATTTATTTTAACCACAATCTTCCATTAACTCTTAACGAAATAAATAATAAGAAGACATAGCTACACATTGTATGTATACATACAATGTATATAGGTAAAAATAAATTTGAGCAACTTTCGAAGTACAGCACCACTCTATTGAAAAGGAAATCATTCCACAATTAACATACAGGATTTTTTTTATTTTTCTAGGATTCTTTTGAAAACCGCATATTAAGAAAAGCTCTTTCATGTGTTCACTTGTATACAAGGTGAAAGGTTCGTAAAATGAACGACGTTATGCCTTTCAATAATTTTAAATTTTCAATTTTCGCATAAATGAAATACAAAAATTTTCATTTCTTTCTTTTTTGTCAACCACAGTGCTACTGCGATTTTCTTTGATTTAAAAAAAAAAAAATAATTACAACATTATTGAAAAATTCTTTTGAATAAAATGTCAAAATAAAATATTTTTTAATTTTTAATATTGGTTTTCTTTACATGTATACTTGAAAGGATATGAAGCAACATATAAGTATGTATGTATGTGTGATTTACATTCTATATGTGCCTTTATGTTATTTAGGAATTTTCTATATACTAGTATGAAATTCTTATTACTTTTATTTTAATAAATTTTTTATTATATATTGAAGAATTCAATTTCAAAATAACAAAATATTTTTTATCATATGGTCTGTTTTCACTTCAGCACATCTTTCTCTGATAATTTTAATTCTAGAAATTGTTTATATTCTATCAGCTTTGGGATAAAATGCTGAAAATAGCATTTGGGGCCTATTGAAATAAATCTCTTGTTTTCATAAAATTTTGCATAAATTTAGGAGTAAAATTATAAATAAAAAATTTTCATAAAGACTAAATTAACATTGGCAATTAACAGATCAGTTCCTTTGCATCTGTTCACATGCAAAGGAAACAAACGTCAGACGTACAGGGTGAAATTAATAAGTACAATTTTTGTGGAAATACAAAAAAACAGGCACTTAAGAATAATCAAAATAAATTTGTAATTTTTTTTTTGTTAAACCATTGAATTCAAAGTGAAATTGATGGGATTTTAATATTTAAATTTTTAGATTTTGAAATTAAAATTTTTTAAATTATTCCTTTATATATATATATATAACAGATAAAGATTATATAAAATGTTATACATTTATATTAGGCTTTGTATGTAGGCGTGAAGTTCCTGAATTTACTTGTCTCCGGAACTTGTGACTATACAATAGTCTCTGAATATGAGAATATCATTACATTGCTTATATTAGAACATATGGTAACGGATAAGGGTGCTGTACAAAGTTCAATAAAGTTCATTTGAAAACTGAATATGGAAGCTGGAATATAGTTCATTTGAAAACAAAAATCAAAATATACAAGAAGTATTTTAGTAGTGTAACTTTTCCAGTGGAAATTGTTGTGTCACAAATTAGATTAATCGAGAACCATATTGTGTCAAATTGTGAAAATTTCCAAGTTCTCAATATGACCTTCAATTGAGGCTTTTAAAGTTTCTTGTATTTGAGTTTCTTGATTGAGTTTCAAGTTGAGATTTTGTCCTTTCGAGTTTCTAAATTCTTGAATAATTTTTATACAAAAATTGCACTTTTTCATGTTTTTCATGTTGGAGCGAATTCTATTCCAGATTTTTAAGTGTCATGAGGTTATGTAGGGAATTTAATAATGATTTTGTGGTGAAACATTTAATGTCGCTTTCATGAACCCAGCTTTAGAGTGGGCAGATCAGGTTTGATTTCCTCTTCGTGATGTTGATATTGATCGTATTGAAGCTGTGGCAAGTCGTTTCCTTCATTTCGCTTTACTTGTTATGGATTGATCGGATCCGTTTATATTGTGTAGACTTCAGTTTTTTGGAAAGTCGTTTCGTTGTCGTAGAGTGATTCTGATATAGTTTTCGTTTATAAACTTGTGGTTTATTGAGTCGAATGTCTTACAAGGGCAAGCTCAGTAACTAAGGGTCAGTCGAGGTTTTCAATGCTCCAGGTCATAGTACGAACTATTGGATGGACGAGCCAAAGACGCGCATGTTGCGCGAAATTAACTTGTATATTCGTCTGTTTTTTATACGAACATAAGTAAAAGGGTGCTTAAGGTCAGATGATTGGTTTTGGCTGTTTAATTTTTAATTTACTTATTAATATTGAGTTAATACTGCTAATATTATATTTTCCTCCCCCGTTTATTTTTCCTTCCTTCTCTATCTATAAATAATGACGGTTTTAATAATAGTTATTCATAGCCCCGATTCCTAACTGAGTTACATTTATTTTGCTATACAAAAATACTTGTCTTAAGCGGTCGTCTGTATATTAAATATTAATTTTGACTTTTTTTTTCTTTTGCAGGTAAAGAAGCTAGAATACTTAAGAAATAATTAATTAAAATCACAAAAAATATAATGATGCACAAATCAGGTAATGCAATTTTATATTTGATGATTAAATAAAACAGCGTGTTTATTTGTTTGTTGACTGGGGTTAAACAATTGTTTTTGCCTTTGTTTTCTTTTCAAACAAAATTCCCGGTCGTTTAAAAGTCAAACTTGCATTAATTTTAATCAAACCAAACAAAATGTATGAACAGTGTTTGATAGTGTAAATTTTGTTATATGCAAAAAATTTTTATTTTATATATTTTTGATTAAATTTTACAGGTAAAAGAAGGTCACTTTAGATTTTGCCTTGATCGAAAAGTAGGGGTTATTTGTTTGATTTTTTCTTAAATTGAAAATTGTTCAAAACATTTTGTAATATTTTATAAAAGCAATGAAAATTATGATTTTTCTTTATTAGAAAATTATTAGAGAATAATAAATGTTTCATCGCGTTTACTTTAAATAAAAGCCCTGAATTTACCATACCGTGCCATACTTAAATTTGTAGGTATACAAAGAAATGTTCAAACATTCAAATCGAATCTACTTTATAAATAGAAAACCTCACCTAAAATTTAAATATTTTTCGTTTTTTGATGTTTAATTCAAAAGATTTCAATAAAAAATTAATTTTAAAATGAAAACCAAAGAAATTTCAATATAAAAGTGTTAAAAATGAAAAAAAAAATACAATCAACAGCATTAAATTATTTGAATTTTCTGCCGTCAAAAATAAAATTTAATTGAAAATTTCAACAAGAAAAAGGCTCATTGATTTTATTATTTTAAATCTTATTCAATTTATTCAAATTTCAAATAATTTTTCCTTAATGTTTTAATTATTTATAAAATTAAACAAAGAATTTGTAAAGAATTTTATATAACAATTTTAAAATTTTAATTTTATTGAAAATATTAATAATCCAGATTTATTTTTTATGTACCTATATAAGTGAGAATATTTATAATTTTCAATTGTTAAGAAATCTTCTATACACGAAAATTATTTATTTGATTAAACATATAATAAAGGAGTTGAGAGGATTAAAATTTTTGAAACGAAATCCTAAAAGTATTTTGTTAACTGAGTTTGAAAAAAGTGGCACATTTTTTAAAACGTGTTTAAAATCCGATAATAATAATTTTCAATAATATATAAATAATAAGATTTTTAAGATTAAGGATGTAAATGGAATTTTAATTGTAATTTTTCTAATTGAAAAATGAATGGCATAGGTTTGAACGAAGGAAACGTTTTCAATTGTTTCTAATATAATGGGTTATTGTCGCTTACAACTTATTAATTTTTAAATATTTTTATTCAAATTTTTAATTATTTTTAGCAAACAAAAATTAATTAGGTACTATTTATTTCAATCTTTAAATATGCTGGTAAATCATGAAGCATCTTGAGTCCTTTGCTTAACCACTGCAAAATTTTTAACATTTTTGTAGCTGACGCATATCTATTGGATTTAATTAGTATTCCCATTACCCAGTTCTGCAAACACTGAAATCTGTTAATTAATATTTTTAGTGAAAAAGCTATTACAATTGTGCATTGTAATAGTATTTTTTCGTTTAATAGAAAAAAATAAAAATCTAAATTCTAAGGAAAAATAAAATTGAAAAAATTAAATTTATTTCTTTTTTGAAAACAATTTTTCTATATCTAAAGTTTTGAATCTTCTCCACCTTGAAATTGAAAAATCAAAATTTCTGTGAATTATTCATAATGCAAAAAAAAAAAGGTAATAAAACTAGGTCCTATTGCACCAACCACATTAACGTTTGCATTGTCCGTTTTAAATTTTTCAAAGAAGTACTTTTTTTCTTTGAGAAATTTTGCAAACTTTTTGATTGATTGACTAAAAAAAGTGATTGGCGAGATAGGATCTTGGTTTTAAATTACCTGTTTAATTGCCCAATATATTCAATTCAGTTGAATATGTACAAAAACCGCATAAAATCCGCTCTTATATAGAGATAAACTGGGTTTCATATAAAATGAAATTAAAAGCGAAATCTTTTCACTCTTTTTAAAAATTTTCGTTTTGCTGATTCTTGAAATTTTTCTTTTATGAAAATATTTCAAGTTTTTGAAAAACAAAAATTAATTTCGTAGCCCTATTTTTTGGTTAATATGGGAGAGTTATCTCGAAAATATTATTTTTCTCTTTCTATCACATTTCATTGCTTTTACATCTAATAGCAATTTTTCTTTTTTTTACAATTAAATGTTTTAATCGCCTTTCGAGATTTTTTCACCAAGTAGAAAAAAAAATATTGGAGGAAGAACAAAATAAAGATTTAAATGACTAACAAGAACATAGGGAACTAATAATATTCGGCTTACAAACGCCCCATAAGTTATTCAATTTGAAATTATTTGGAAAAAAGTCATATTTGTGTAAAAATCCTTTGATTAGACAATGAAAAGGTTGATTATAATTATAAGGTATGTGAAGATTAATTTGCTGAAAACTCCAATTTCATACGATAGCTTAAATTAAACATCAACTCAATGTTTGTTATTAAGTGTTTCCGTTTTTAAATTGAATATGTGTTAATATTGAATTAGATCATAATACACACATATTCTTTTAGTCGCATCATTTGACGTGACGGGATGTTATTCAAACGTTTTGAGTTTTCCGGGATAAAATCAATTTCGAAATTTTAAATTCTATACTGAAAACTGATAATCTTTTCAATAATACCCGATCACCTTAAGTGATGCGATTAAAAGAATAAGGGTGATAGATTTTCAATTAATTTTGTCTATCACCATTTTGAATGAATATCTTTGATTTAAATCAATATTAATTTAGAATCTATAATGTAAAAATTTAAAATCATCTACATTCCGTTTCGAATGTTCCAAAGAAGATCAGTGTGACTTGATAATAAGATATACGTATGTACATACATATATATTATTATTGGATTTTAATTTCCATTAAAAAAATCCTGTTATTTTAAGGATAATTAAAAAGGAAATAATTCTGTAATTCAATTTGAAATCTTAAAATAGTCCCAACTTTTAACAGAAATTAGTAGAATTAGAAAATTAATATTAACCTTGAAAAATTAAGAAAAAAAAAAAAACAAAAATGGAATTTTTTTTTTTAAATGTTAGAAAAAAATCTGATTTTACTTTTCTGTTTTCTTTTTTTTTTTTGTTCTACATACAAAAATGTTGTGAACGTCCTTGATGCTGGGAAAATGAAGAATCATTTGGAAATTTTTGCTATCCTTATTAGATTTTTTGCTAAATTACTACGTATGTAGATATGTTTGTATTGTACATGCAAACAAAGGCATATAGACTGTTTTCAGATTTTGTTAAGAGTATATACATATATACAATTATGTGTATATGTGTCCAAATACAGGTATAAATAATATGGTTGGAAAATGATTCAAAAATAAAAATAATAATATGTACACTTGTTTAATAATTGTTTGTTCCCTATACATATTGTATACATTTGTACATAAGTGTATAATACATATGTTATATATAGAGAAAATTGGTAGTATGGTACCTATTAACTTTAGTAAATTGGTATATAATAAGGTGTTGTTACTTAGTAACTTCAACAAGTTTTCTTCTTAATATGTATATATTATATATATCATTATTATTATTACTTATATATTAATATGTGTATATGAATATATATAAATTTAAGATAACAAATATGAAAATTGTTCAAGTTTAAAATGAAAATTATATCAGCACAAGCGTAAATTATTATTTCTTTTTCGTTCTCTAATTTGCTTTTTCTATATACATAAGTACCATGCATATATATATAATCGTGTATTATATACTATGTATGTACATATATTTTATTTTAAATTTGGAATATTCATATACATATTATGAGCAAAAATATACATAATATGTGTACGTAATAAGAGTATGTATTATTTGAATGATTTCTCTATCAAATAAAGTTATAGAGAATGAAAAATAAACGAATTTGTTAACCCTAAAAATTCATTCGTATACTACTTTAGTATTACAGTTTCAATTAAAAATCAAAGCAATATCCTAAATGAAATCTAATTTAAAAGCTGGCAATTATAACGAACACATTTAACAGGCGTTTAGAAAAATCTGATAGTTGGTATTCTAAGATTGGGATTGACTTTGTATGAGCTCAGATAAATTTACAATATGATAAACGTTCAGTTATTATGAAGCAAATTGAATAAGCATTTTAATTCTCTAAGACCACAATTATTCCGTAATTCACCAAGTAATCTAGTAATCTGTCTCTACGGCGGCGTCTAATGATAAGTCACCACTTGTGTCCTACAATTAATACAATGGTATGTTGTAGTTAAGTTCACTTTGTTTTGACTTATTTAAATGGAATGATTTTGGATGTTAATTCCATCCAATCTTGTTCGTTTGCGACCCCTTTTGCAAATTTCAAGGGAACAAACCTTCAAAGTAGTAAAAATAACAGTTGAGCAGCTTATTGTTTTGGGAAATTTTTGAATTCCGTTTAAATTTTGAATTCTGTTTTGCTAACGAAACTAACTTTTTGAAGAAATTTTTTTTGGAATTTTGGATGGCACGTTTCCCAAAAGCTTAATATAGTTTAAGGTTAAAATTAAAAGAAAGATGCCAATTTATCATATGGAACATATTCTTATCTTTCGAAAAATAGAACTATAACAGTAATAATAACGGGAAAATAGAAATAAAAGTAATAACAATAAAATTGTTCTGTCTAAAATTCCACATACATATGCATACATAAATATATAATATATAAATATACTTTTCAATTCATATATAAATATACATATCTACATACAAACGCGATTATCATTACAATATTTATTTACGCTCGAGCATTCACATTTTTGAACATAACCTATGATATCCCGAAGTAATAGGAGAGAGTGAGGGATGAAAACATTATTTTCCTTTTATTTTATATTATAATAATATTCTGGATTCCATATAATTATGATTCTTATGATGAAGTTACCATGGTAAGTTTTCTATATTTTGTTTACCTTTTATTATTATAGTTAAATTCGCATACCTACATACATATATATACTTAATATAGATATT